AGCGGACTTCACACGACGTGCGTACGGGACAAATTACCTGGAAACCCTGCGGGTGCAGCTGCATGCAAACTGCCGCGTCCGCCGGCTGTACTTCAGTGACCGCCTTTACTCGGAGGAGGAGCTGCCACCAGAGTTCAAACTATTCTTCCCATTTCCCAGCAGCGGCCGCAACAACAACAACAACAGGCGCCACAGATGCAACAACAACAACAACAACAGGCGCCACAGATGCAACAACAACAACAACAACAGGCGCCACAGATGCAGCAGCAACAACAACAACAGGCGCTACAGATGCAGCAGCAACAACAACAACAGGCGCAACAGATGCAGCAGCAACAACAACAACAGGCGCAACAGATGCAGCAGCAACAACAACAACAACAGGCGCAACAGATGCAGCAACAACAACTACTACGGCAGGCGCAGTTGCGAGAGGCGGCAGCGGAGATGGAGCAACAACAACTACGGCAGGCGCAGTTGCGAGAGGCGGCAGCGGAAATGGAGCAACAACAACTACGGCAGGCGCAGTTGCGAGAGGCGGCAGCAGATATGGAGCAAGAACAACTGCAACAGGCGCATTTGCAAGATGCGGAAGCGGACATGGAGCAAGAAGAACTGCAACAGGCGCATTTGCAAGATGCGGAAGCGGACATGGAGCAAGAAGAACTGCAACAGGCGCAGTTGCAAGATGCGGAAGCGGACATGGAGCAAGAAGAACTGCAACAGGCGCAGTTGCAAGATGCGGAAGCGGACATGGAGCAAGAAGAACAGCCCTCGCAGCCACAGCAGCCAGAAGCGTCGGCGGGATTGCAGTAGCAGGAACATTAGCCGCAAGGGGCGGCTTAGAGGGAAGCTCCTCTACTTGCCGTGCGCACATAAGCACCCAAAGAGGGTATTTAGTACGCAACGGGTGGGGGAAGGCGATCGTAAATAGAAGAAGAGAGCGAGAGGAATACGGCCTTTGGTAGCAGAAAAGTGTCATATTCAGATGCTTGCTTATTGTTGTTTTCTTTTTTCCGTTTTGTTTTGTTTTGGTCCCTCCACCACACGCATTACTCCCTCTTTTTTGTTTGATTCCCTCGGTGCACAGCCGTTGCACTGACGTCACCGCTGGTACATACCGCAGGCACATCTACGTCGTTAGAATTTCTAGCGCCTTTTGTGTCCCTTGCGATTTTCCTTTTGGTGGTCATCGCATGAATGTACAAATACCAAGCAGCGGAGCGGGGGGAAATAGGGAGATGTGGAAAGAGGCGTGTAAACAAGTGACGCCGTGGGCTGTAATGCGTCTGTACACATGCGACGGACAGCGTGAGTGCAGGTGAAGGCGGGAGAAGAAACGCGACAACAGAGACAGCGGGGGGAATGGGATTGTGGCCCGCCGCCTCCTGCACGCACTCATTTCCTTTTCCACGGTAGAAGGTAAATATATTGAGACACGGGGTAAACCAAAGCGAAGTCAGGAACAAGAGCACGGGACAATGTATTTGTATATAAGTCAGGTAATAAGAAGCGATGTAGCAATCAGTTAGCCAATAACGCGGCAAGACACACACACATACACACACACACATACACACACGCACAAATTTAAGTACTTGAATGGTTTGAGAGACTCTCGCAGTGGGGGGGGGGGGGGGGGGTTGTACGTGCATGCAGGCAAACGCACGCGCATGCGTACATCACAAGAGGGCTTGAGAGAGCGCAAAAAAAAAAAAGGGGGGTGAAAATATGGCACATACACGCATAGAGAGAGAGAGAGAGAGAGAGAGAGAGAGACGAGAGT